GGATGCACAACCAGCCACTGGCTGAACCCAAGTCTCTCTGATGGCAAGACCACATGGCTTTCCACTATACCAAGAGTATACTAGAATTGTCAATTAGGAGTTCTTAATATATAGCAGACACTGGGCTAAACAATTTTTGTATTATCTTATTTAACATTCACTGTAATTTTCTGAAGTCTATGTCAATACTCGAAGTTTACCAACATAAATCCTGAGATCCTAAAAGGCTGAATGAACTGCCCTAAGTCACAGAGCCAACAAGTGGCCGATGCAGGATTCAAACAAGTCTGGGTTTGCAAAACCTGGCCTCTTAGCATAGAATCACTGTTTCCTGAGACTATGTAGTTTTTGTGAGTGACCAGGATATGATTTGTTCCACAGTCTTTTAATCTGAGTCTTTATTCATTGCCCCATAGTGATGGTCACCTGGGCTCTCAGATGACAGGTTTGTAGCTAGCATTGAATTAAGGTTTACTCACCTAACCTTCACAGAGAGCTTGTGGCCAGTCACATGGATGGCATTTTCATCCTTGTAGAGCATGGGCACAGGAATACCCAGCACCAAATGATGCTCCCACCATCCAGTGCTCCAAGCCTGACCTCATTATGTGTTTGGCCAGGACCTGAAAATGCCAGATGGGGAATGGGTGAGAGGGCAGAGGGAGACAGTTGGACTCATTGAAGCATAACCATTTGGTACTCCCTGGAGATGCTAGTTGTCAGAAGTGATTGCTCAGATTTTGCCATCCAGTTTACATTTTCAGTATTTTGGTCAGTGACCAAACTAGGGTGGAGAGGATTATTTCTGCTTAAACAATCTAATTAATTGCTTGCCTCTTGAGTGTGAGAGAAGTAAGGCAGTACTTCTCATTTCGATTCAGTCTTTCTATACAGGTGGCCCACCATTTCCTTAGGTAAAGCTTTAATATCATCTATTTCTGCCAAAGGAGTCTTACTTAGTAACATAATTAGAGAAGGTGATGCTAAACTTGATGTAAATTCTTACCAAGTGAAAAAGTCATGAGTTGGTAAGTAATTTTTTATTAAAAACACTGAGGGTAAGTCACTTAACTCTTGAGCCTCAATTTTCACATCCAGGCCCACAACACTCCTTGAGGGTTTATTCATGCATTCGTTCATTCATTTGTTCATTTATTCAACAAAGATTCATTAAGCATCTACTATATGCCCAGCTCCATCTTAAGTCCTGGATTGTTGCGCGGTTATGGATAATATAGGCAAAGTGCTTAGTACAACATCAAATACCTTGTACATACTCAAATAATGGGTATTTTCCTTTCTTCATATTTGAGTTTTTAGTGCTTGAAAGAACACACCATTATTTAGAGCCCTATTTCCCAGCCCTACCTCTCTTTTGAGCAATAAATTATCCACCTGCATCCCAAGAAGCAAGAGAGGAAGGGGCTGAGGTAGGTAGGAGAAAACATAAGCCATAGCCACCTACCACTGAGAGAGGGAATCAACATGGGCCTCCGTGATGGGAAAGCAAAACTATGATGGGGTTACAGTGAATACAAAAAGACTGCCAAGAAGAGAAATTAATTCAATATTTATGATATAATTCAATATTTATAGTGTTGCATATAGTCATTTAGCTAACCTAAATTTCAGTATTAAAATTTATTATAAATTTTAAAGCCCAGGGGTTCGTGGGTGGCTCAGTCTGTTAAGCGTCTGACTCTTGATTTCAGCTCAGGTCATGATGTCAGGGTCATGAGATCAAGTCCTGCGTTGGGCTCCACACCAGATGTGGAGTCTGCTTAGGATTCTCTCTCTCTTCCTCTCCCTCTGTCCCTCTACCCTCTCCCCAGTTCTCACATTCTTAAAAAAAATTTTTTAAAGCCCAGCCTATTATGGTATGGTGTTATGTAAGTGATTATATACTTGCATTTGGTTATGGTTTATTTAATTCAGGACATTTGGGATATGGGGATGCAATGGAGAAGGTTGGTTATCATTTGTGAAAAACTTAATGCAGATATCTGAAGAACTGTATTGGCCCTAAAACTATGTATAACTCATCCAAAATCTTATTTGTGTTGAGAATTCCCATTGCAGAAGAGAGACGAGGAAGATCCTGAATGCTATTTCCCAAGCTGAGTAGATGTGAACAAACACTCAAGTTAGCTTTTAGCAGATGTGTGTTCAGGCCGTTTCTACCACTTTTTAAACTTGGCAAGTTTCAAGTCTCAGCTTTCCCAGCCATAAAATGGGGTCAATAATACCTACATCATTTGGTTATTGTGAGAACCAAATGAGAGGCTATAAATGTAAAGGAATTTTTCAATAATAATTTTATGTTAAAACTTCAGCCAACACTTATATTATCATCATTCTCATTAATGAAATGTCCAACCCCAAGAGAAAGCAAAACTTTCCGACTTCCTTCATGAATGAGCCAAAACCATGCCACCTACAGTAACATTTTAAAAATTGTGGGTTTTTTTTCTAGTGCCTGTTTGAAGATTAATAAACCATAGCAAATAATAGGTGTGTGTGTGTGTGTGTGTGTGTGTGTGTGTGTGTGTGTGTGTGTATCCATCGGACTTAACATTCTTTGAAACCCTCTTAAGATTTAAGCGATGAATCACTAAAGATAGCCTAATAGGGACATTTCTTAAGAAATCTGAAAAGGGTGAGCTTGGAAACCAGGGGGTAAAAATTAGAATGCTCTGTCCAAATAGTCAGAATCCTGACTTCAGCCTAGTATATGTTTGGAGCCCTGTGAGTTCTGTGGTTCGTGCAGAATTTTTTGCATAGCCTAATCAAATAAACATGGATCCTCTGCCTGTCATTTTGGCATCATCTAATGTACTAGTGTTTCCCATAATTATCCTGGTTAATGAAAAGAAGCCAGGATAAAGTCAGGGCCAGAACAGTTTTAGAAGGATCCAAAGAGATGAATATGAATTAACATTTGCACTTGGATTAAAACCAAGAAAAGGTGAAGTTGCTCAGAACAGGCATTTTCTGAGTGAGCATCTTTCCACTTGGCAGCTTACCTTTTCTGAAGTCTTCCTTGTGCTCTTCCCAACTGTTGTATGTAGAAACTCTCAGTGGAACATATTGCTTTAATATCTGAGGTTAGATATGAAAATTTTTGTTCAGCTGTTTCCACTCAAATATTCTCCTCTCGCACTGAAACTGTTTCTGTAACTATAGAAACCCCGATCTGCATTGTGTTTCAACAGGGAACACAAAAGAGCTCTCAGTTAAAAAGCAATATGTTGTTAATTATTGATCTATGAATAGCTTAGATTTTATAAACCATTAATTTCTGTAGATTCGGGGTTTTTCTTCTCTCTTTCTTTTCTTTCCCCATTTTTGAAATTAGAGTTGGCCATATTTAAACAAACAGTCAAGTCAAAACAACTCATGGAAGATTATTTGAGTTCATAGTGGTTTATTGAGGACTTGCTGCAGGATGCTGCAGAGTGACATGTGGGTTTGCCCTCAAGGAACATACAGCTTTATATGTGCTCTGGGAAAACAAACACAAGGAAATGAGACAATACCAACATGAAGTTACAAATAAGTACTGTCGTGTCATAAAGGAAGGAGTGATCATGTCTAACCGGAGAGGCTCAAACAAACAAACAAAAAAAAAAAAAAAAAACAACAAGGAGATACTTAACTTCTCTTTACCTCTTTTTTAACCACTTCCTTCGAAGAGGCACAAGTCTTACCAATTTTACTTTACTACTGTTTCTCAAACCCTTTCCTTCCTTCCACCTCATTATCATTTCTCGCCTGGATTGTGACAATGACTTCTCAACAGGCCTCCTGCTTTCCACTGTCCCTTCTCTCCTCCAGCCTATCTTCCTCCTCTGCCAGCGTCTTTTATTCTATGTTCCTCTGTTTGAGCGCTTCTCTGCTTTATATCCTCCCATAACTCATGAGGACTCCCCAAGGAAGAAGCCTGAGTCCGTAGTGTGGATGGATATCTTTTATAAGGAGGTCCCACCACCTCACTGTCTCACATCCCATCCTGTATATACCCTATACCAGAATCTTCCCACAATCTTTAGCTTGCTTATATCCTAGGGTCATGGTATGTGTCATTGCTCCTGTCAGGGAAGTTCTCCCTGGACTTTTCCTGGTGACAAGCTCTTTCTTGTCCTTCAAGTTTCACATAAATTGATACCTCCTCCAAGAAGCTCACCCCAATGCTTTCTATCCCTCCTTCTCACCCTTCAGTGAGATAGATGCCTCGTCTATCCCTCCTTCTCCCCCCCGCCCCCACGCGTTGCTGTCGACAGTCTTACCGTGCAGCATTATCAGTCTCTTTATGTCTTTGTTCCTACCAGGAGCACATTCCTGGGTGTTTATTGCAATCATGCTTTTTAATTTTTTTTCTTTGTTCCCCAGCTCCTTGCTTGATACATGGTAGGCACTCGATGAGTGTTTAATGAATGAATGAAGTGTCAGGTACAATAATGAAATCTGCAGAGATGACAGGAGAACAGCACTGGGGAAAAGGAAAAAATTCAAGATTACCTATAACATATTTGGTTTTGAGGTGAAGGCAGATACCCTTGTGTTTCTAAAGGGAAGGGAAGAAAAAGGAAACCAAAAGAAAAGAGTAGGAGAGATGACGTGTGCAGAGGGGAGGAGAGGAGAAGAAAGAAGTTTATTTAGTCTTCACTTTAGGTGTTCATCTCTGTGGATTGTGATTTCTTTTAATAGATTTTTGGTTGATTTATTCAGGCATTTAAGTAACAAATATTAGTTTTTCTCCCTCTTTGTTTCTTCCAATCACTGTGACTCTCAGTACATAGCACACAGAAGTTTCAAGGGATGTGTTAGCCTCTTAGAGACAATATACCAAGAAGTTTTTTTACCAAACAAAGGAATGGGAATTCTTTAGAACACATTGTATTTGCGCTATAGGATATGAAGAGGTATTCTTTATTTAGTAAGGAACTTACTCATAAATGCCTTGCCATGCGATCAGCTCTTTATTTTCCAATTTTCTTTAGGGTGGAAAGAAAGGAGCGTGCCCGGTTGAAGACAGTGAAGTTTAATGCAAAACCTGGAGTGATTGATTCAAAAGGGGTAGGTACAAAATAATCAAAATATTAAGTTCTCTCGGCTGCCATGGGTTTAACTATAATTAACATTTAGGCTTCCAGTAGCAAGGAAATTATGGAGCTACCAGACAGTAGAGTACTATTATAAGTGTACTGCTGAAAGTAATCATGTATTCTCTGATGAAGTAGATGTGTAGTAAATATATTAAATACTGGGGCTAAAGCTGACAGTGGTCCATGGAAATGATGTGTTGATGAAGGTGATGTAGTGATTACACTGAAGAAGAAAAAGATAGTTTAGTGTTTTCATTTCTTTAATTTTTTTCTTTTGAATTAAATGTTCAAAAGGATGGATTTCATAAAAGATACCTATCTGCTCTTCACAAATATGTGTAGTCTATTACGTATTATAAAGCTAAGACAGTGGTCATGGAAATATATATATCTGGATCATCTCAGTGAATACATGGATTGTTGTGACAGACATAGAAGAGAATTAACAAGTGAAATTGAATCACCAAAATTAAAGTATTATGTACACATGTATCTATTTTAATAACAGCTTTAACAAGATAAAATTCACATACCATACAATTCACTAATTTAAAGTATACCATCCAGAGGTGTTTAGTATATTTAGTTAGACAGCCATCCCTACAATCAGTTTGAGAACATTTGCTCACCCCATGAAACCCTGTAGCCGTCACTTCCCATTACCCCCCGACCTCACCCCCACCCTCAACCCTGCCCAGTCCTACGCAACTACTAATCTATTTTGCCTATAGATTTGCCTATTCTGGATATTTTATATAAATGGAATTATATACTATGTGGTCTTTTGTGTCTGCTCCTTTCACTTCACATAATGTTCTCATGCACAGATATTGTGGCATATATAAGTACTTTCTTTCTTTTCCTTGCCAAATAATATCCCATTGTAAGGATACATCTCATTTAATTTATCCATTCATCATCAGTTGATGGACATCTGGGTTCTTTCCACTCTTTGGCTATTATGGATAATGCTACAGTGAACATTTGTATATACATTTTTGTATGGAGTGTTCTTACTTCCACTGGGTGTATACGTAGGAGTAGAATTTCTGGGTCTTATGATAACTCTATGTTTAATGTTTTGAGGAACTTCCAGACTGTTTTTCCAAGGTGGTTGTACTTGTTTATATTCCCACCATCAGTGTATGAGGGCTCCAATGTCTCTACATTCTCACCAACACTTGTTATTATATGTCTTTCTGCTTATTTGGTCTGAAGTGGTATCCCATTGTATTTGCAATTTGCATTCCCCTAATGACTATTGGTGTTGAGCATTTTTTCATGGGTTAATTGGCCATTTCTATATCCTCTTTGTAGAAATGTCTATTCAGATCATTTGTTCATTTTTAAATTGGGCTTTTTTGTTGTTGTTGAGTTGTAGAAATTCTTTATATATTCTGGAAATCAGTCTCATCAAATGTATGCTTTCCAATTATTTCCTCTCATTCTGTAGGTTGTCTTTTTACTCTCTTGCTAGTGTTCCTTTGTGCACAAAAGTTTTTAATTTTGATAAAGTCCAATTTACCTATTTTTTCTTTTGTTACTTGTGTTTTTGGTATCATATAAAAGACACCATTACCTAATCCAAGGTCATGGGATTAAGGATGATATGAGGTAGGGTTCCAATTTCTTCTTTTCTTTACGTGTGGATTGTCTTTTCAGTTTCATTTTTGTTTTGTTCATTTCAAGTATATAGAAATGTAATTAGCTTATATATCAATCATATCCTCCTACCTTGCTGAACCTGTTTATTAGTTCTGATAAATTTTTTTGGTAGATTCCTTAGCACTTTCTACATACAAGGTCATCATGTGTGAAAAGAGAGTTTTACTTCTTTCTTTTCAATCTGGATGACTTTTATTTCTTTGTCATGCCTGATTGCCCTGGCTAGAACCTCCGGATCAATATTGGATAGAAGTGGCAAGGGCAGCCATCCTTGCCTTGTTGCTGACCTTAAGGGGAAAGCATTCACTCTTTTGCCATTAAGTATGATGTCAGCTGTGGCTTGTGCAGCTTTTAAAATCTATTTTTAAGTGATAAAACAAGTCTCTCATTGCTGTACTGTAAAATACTGCCCCCTACCTACCCTTCTTTCTTCCTATGCTCTTTTTCTTCATCTCCTTTCCTTTATCTTTCTGTCCTAACAATTCTGGCTTGTGAGCATCACACAGAACCTCAGGTTATGGTCAATAGATGTTACCATGAAAAACAAAAAGAAGAAAGGCTATCATTTCTTAGGACTTTTGAGCCCAAATCACAACACTGCCCCTCATATTTTGAAGTAGAAGTGTCACAGGGTGGCCCAATCATTGACATATCATTTACTTTACCCTAAAACATTCGGGTGAAACAGGAATTTATTTAAACATAAGGTGTCCCTCTTAAAAAAGAAATGAGGGTATGTGTCATCATGTATGGAGTCCTTTCAAATAAATACTATTTACAAACAAGAGAGCAGGATTTTTCACTCCTTCTTAGTGAGAATTTAAGGATAGAGCTCCTCTTTGTTTCATATATATAGTTGAATATATATCAGAGAATTTTTGTTGAATACCTACTATATGCCAGACACAGGGCTAGAACTTGTGAAAGATGCAAAGTGTAACAAAGGCCCTTCTCTTCAAGAGCTTATAACATCTATGAGAGCTCAGATGTCTTTTTGATAAGGCTAAGACATGTGTATTAGGCTTTTTAATCATATTGTCAAATACTATTAGGTAATGCCAAAAAACAGAATATAAATTCTAGGACTTAAATGACTACTGAAGGAGGACCAGTGACCATGTGGAAAGGGAAACCCTGGACCAACAGTCATGAGGGTCAAGTAACTTGGGTTCTAGTTTGAGTTCACTATTAAGTCACCACTGCTCTTTGGGCCTCATTGGCAAAATAATAGCTTTGAACTATATCCAGGATGTCAGGCAAGTTTCACTTCCTATATGGTGGATTGATCGTGATTATGGATTGATAGTTTCTTGTGGATTGATAATTTCTACCTGAAATATTTTGTTGAAAATTATTCTGAGACCATGTATGACCTCAGCAGGAGAAAAAAAAACTGCCATGATTGACTATTCATCCCTAGCACAACATTGAGAATTGTTCTCTGTTTGAAGTCCGTAGGTTCAATGATTTTTTAAGATGCCTTCCAACAGTAATTCTCCATGAGCCTGTGAGTTAAGAAATAATAGATCAAAGTTTTCCAAATCCCCTTGAGAACAATACATCATTGAGAAGACTCTTGCCCAAGGTAGAAAGTAAAAGATGATTAAGAGAAAGTCTGCTGAAGAAAGAGAGAGACCCACTATGGGGAGAGCTGAGAAGTTGGGTCAGGAAAAGCCAGTCACCTTGAGCCAAGGACACGGACTACAGAACTTAGTTATTGTCACAAAAGCCTCAGTCTGGGACCTAGGGATAAACTCAACATAAACTGAGGAAGAAGGGGCATCTGGATGGCTCTGTCAGTTAAGCGTCTGCCTTCTACTCAGGGTCCTGCAATCGAGCCCTGCATCGGGCTTCCTGCTCAGCAGGGAGCCTGCTTCTCCCTCTCCCTCTGCCACTCTCCCTGCTTGTGCTCTCTCTCTCTCTCTCTCTCTCAATAAATAAATAAAATCTTTAAAAAAAAACTGAAGAAAAAAACTACTTGGAATGAGAAAGAGAAGGGGATATTTGAAAGGACCCTGTCATTAGCTGGCATTTACACATTGTGAAACATGAGTTCAAAGGGAGGCCATGGTTGCTGCCCTGGAGAAGCTTAAAATCAGTTCATATGGATAAAGCAGGTTGTGGCAATGGCCTTAATAGAAATATGTATAAGAGCTATGAGAATTCAAATTAATGGGTATAGGAATGGCCAGAGAGCACTTCATAGAAGAACTTAGACTTTGATTGACTTATCTGTGCTTGAGTTATTTTTCCAGAACTATCCATTGATTTAAAAATACTGAATGCTGTGAAACAGCAGGTATTGTGCTAGGTGTGTTGTAGGACAGCAAAGTAAAAAGTACAGCCTGTTTAATTAAAAAGGCAAGGTCTCTCATTTCAAGGAGCTCACAAAGAGAAATATAAGAAAACTGGCAATACAGTATCACTGATGATTCTCAGAAATTTAAGGAATTAACAGTCCTTATTTGAAGTATCTGGAGACTGTGCCTCAAGAAGATGAGCTAGTTTACCTAAGATCACACAGCTAACAGGTACAAGTGTCAGATTTGCATTCAGTACATTTTGATAGCAGAATGTCCATTTCTTCACACTATATTTTTTTGGAAGTCAGGAGAAGGACAGTTACTAATCATGCCTTGGGTAAGAGAGAAAGCTTCCAAAAGAAGGTGGTACTCAAACAAGATCTTGAAGTCTGAGTAGGAGTGTGCCACACATAAAATACAGCATGAACATGAAGGTGGAAAATGTAGGCATGTTAGAGTGAGGCCAAGCAGATCAGGGACACCAGATGGATGGTGTGGTTGGTGTAGTGGTAGGTGTGGCAAATGGGGCTGACCAGGAAGGTCTGGAAGGTCAGGCAGCTTGTATGGAAAGCCTGGTTTGAGCGGGAAGCTCACTGAATTTGGAGAACATCCAGGAAGAAATCAGAGGCTCTCTACTGAAAGTGCTCATTTGCTACAAATGAAGTGCCCAGGCTTTCAGTCCACTCTGTGTGCCTGCACAAAGTTTGTGTCTACACATGCAAAGACAAGTGGACAATTGTGTCAGTAACCCACATCATTCCAGCCTACCCAGACCCCTAAGCTCAAAGTGGCCATCTGTTTGGATGGGTCTCCTTGAGAACTATCTCAGTTTCCCAGATCCCAATGCAGGCAGGCTTCCCTGAGAATGTCGGTTAAATTCCTAATGAGTCTCTACTCAAACTACCCTCTGTCGAAAACTTAATCACTCCCTTACTTTCTTTCATTGGTCTTCTTTTTTCATCAGTTTCATAATCAGCCACTCTGTTATTTATTAAGACATTTA